ATCAGAGATAAATGCATTAAGTTGGTTCCTTTCTCCGGAAAAGAAATTAGGAACTAGACTACACAAGAAACTAAGGGATATTTGGGATGAGTTAAAAACAGGTTGATCAAGTTTAGGCATTGTTCACAAAATGAGTTACCTATTACTACTACTTACAATATAAAGAAATTCTGATAAAGAGTTAAAACCCACCAACATGAAACGAATTACTTAAGAATTCTCCGGTTTCTTGTCGTTCAGAATGATCCTTCATCGACTGCGCCAAAATTTTAATATGTTATGTTCGGTTCGTTCTTTATTTTGTAAGTAATGAACAAGCACTTAAAACTATCACTATAACAAAACTAATATTAATAAACAAGAACTTATTACAGCTAGACTAAAAATCAAATGAACACACGCAAAGCTGTGTAGCTTCCCTATATTACTTTGGTCTTTCGTTAGTCAATTGTTTCGAACGAGCAAACACTTGCAAATAAAATAAAAGAAATAATTTCTAGAAGCTTCGCTTCTAAAGAAGAACAATTTGAGTTCGTCGCCAGTCTTTTGTTTATAAAAATTGAAAAATGTGAATATTGAGTACGGGATCATAACAATATATATAATAGCTAGAGAAAGAGAGAGAGAGAGAGAGAGGGAAACGCGGGAAAATTTTCTATTAATTCCACGATATTTTTTTTTTTTTTCAAAATAATTTTTCTCTTTTTTTTTTTTTTTTTAATATTTTACTTTAAAAAAAAAAAAAAAAATGTGTAATTATACTAAAACAATATATTTTTGGAATTCTAAAAGTTAAACAATAATAATAATAATAATAATAATAATAATTATTATTATTATTATTAAAAGAGAGAAAGAGAAAGTAAGCAAAAGGTTTTTTTTTAAAATAAACATTGACCCTTTCTTGTTAAATATATTTATTTACCTTTATTTAAATATTTTTCGAGTAATAAGTTTTTTCAGTGACCCAAGTCAATTTTAATAATGATAAACGTTCATTATTATTATTATTATTTTTATAATTTATATGTATATACATTAGAAAGTAAAAACTGGAAAAACAAAAAAAAAATTTTTTTCTGGAAAATTCATTCGAGCACGCAAAATAATTCTTTTAATTTTTTTTTTGTTCATCTATGTAAACAATACCCCTCCCGCCCCCCCAAAAAAAAAGTTTGACGCGTAAAAAAAGATTTATTATCATTATTATTATCGTTTAAATTTAAAAAAAATTGACGGTTAAAAGTAACGAATTAAAAAATTTTTTTTTTTTTTTAATAGCAATATTGACGATTTATCAACGGATATCCTTCATTTAGATATTTGGTAAGTTCAATAATAATAATAATAATAATAATAAAATTTTTGATGTTTTTCACCCCCACACAAAATTTCTGCCACGATAAAAAAAAAAAAATTTAAAGAAGTTATCAGGAGAGGAATAAAATGGATACAATTATTATTATTATCTTTTTTTTAACGGGAAAATCAAAAAATCCCTCACAAAAAAAAAAAAAAACGTATGATGATGATAATGATAATAAAATGACGTATTAAATATTAATGACGTAAATATAGGGACCACGACGACGAGTCCTCCGTCCTCGATGCCGTATCGCACTTAAACGAGGTACGAGGAGTTAAAGGATTAGGAAGATTTTTTAAACAAATCGCTCAAAGTGCAAGATCGGGATCACAGGATGATTTTTTGGGATGCGTTAATGTGGCATTACAGGGTATACCATCCACGGGTTTAGATTGTTGGTATAAATTAGAAGCGAGAACTCAAAGATCGAACATACAGGGAAGGTAAATTAAAAAAGACCCCTCAATCAATTGTCGAAAGGAGAGATCAGGTACAAAAAAATTTTCGTGTTTTATTTAGAATTCGTTTGAAATTATGGCTGACGACAAAAGAAGACAGAGGAACATCAGAAGAAGATAATTGGAGCGAAATACATCAACAAGAACAATTACATTCGGTTTTTATCGGTTACGAATTATCAAAGCATAGAGTAAGTAAAAATATTTTTTTTCTAAATTGTTGACGTCATCATTGAAAATTAATAAAAAAATATTTTAATTTTTGAAGGGAAAAAGTTGGGAATGGTCCGGTGATCTTCCTCAGGTTGCATTGACAATCATTCATCAGCATGCCATACAGGGTGACGTCACTGATCTTCAATTATCTCTTGTCAAATGGGTGGCATATTCAAAAATAAATCAGGAAAAATTTTTAGATCCTAAAATCCTTTATAAACTTTTACAAGATATGGATCAGGTATACGTGAGAATTAATAAATAAACAAAAAACTTTTATTAAACTCCAAAGTCTGTCTATTGCCACGACAAAAAAATTTTGCGTTTGTTTTCAAAACAGATTTGGTCGACGGAAACACTTTCGAAAGAAGAAGAAGAATATCTCGCGGAAAGTTTTACATCATTTGTTGAATATTCTCTTTACCTTGTGAGACGTCACAGGATTTTGTTTCCTCCTCAACAAAGAGCAACAATGACAAGATTTGATTATCTTTTAAGGTAAAAAAAATTTTATTTTTTACATAAAAAAAGGAAATCGAATACGTGATTCAAAAAAAAAGAAAAAAG